ATGTCGAAGTTTTGATTTGTGTCAAACGTTTCTGAAAAACGTCCATGGTAAGCAGTACTTCCCGATTAGAAAACATTGTGCTCAACTACAGCAAGAGCTTCAGTTAAGCACAAGTTAATGCAATGCAAGCTGCAGACCCCGCTTCATGTATACTTTGTTCAAAAAGGTTTTTAAAGACCTGACGGAACCTTGGTACGTGGTGCGGGATTTTGATTTTTGCGGAGAGGCTCGACTTACCCGAGGTTTCACAAGCAGGCTACCCGTAACGCTGAACATTCGAGACAAGCCAAACGGGGTGCACACTGAGAAGGGAAGACACACATTAGTACACAGAAGTGACACAACTCCGTCTCAAAAAGTCTGGCATTTGTGCTCAAGCGTATACTGACGCAGAAGCAGCAGCACTCCAAACAGAGAGATCCCAGAGTACAGGTATGGCAGGTAATACTCCCACAGGTCTGCAGTTTGAAGAGGGGAGGGGGATAACAATTAGCGACACTTCCAGTGAAGCCCATGTGGAGTACAAGGGTATGATGAGAGTGACTCACCGTAGAGGCTCTGTCGGGCAACGTTGTCATGGAGGAGAGCTGATGCCACCCACACAATACCCAGCACAAGGAGAGCAAGCAAGATCAGCAGGACGACAGCTTCATACACTCGCGCCATTACTCCCTACACAGAAACACGAGTTGTTTGGTGATCAGTTTGAGAGAAGCTCATTTTAAAATCTTAGACATTTACAGGTGTAAGAAAAATAAGGTAGTAAAAAAAAGGTAGGACACAAGAAAGAAATAAAGACAATGATGGGTTAGAGGAAAGAGGGAAGGTCAACAGGAAAAACAGAAGGTCAAAAAAAATAAACTCCTACCTTTTTGGATCCAGCAAACCCCTCCGACTCGGTGAAGAAATACACAAAGGGCATGAGGAAGACGAGGGACAGGTTGGAGAATAAAAACACTAGGTTCCATAACCCTGACAAGAGAGAAACAGATCATTGTTAAAGATTTTGTGTGTGTGTTAGCATTTATTAGTAATTACGACTGTAATGAAACATTTTAGTAGTTCCCTCCATCAACCACTATGTGGCATCGTACTAAAAGACTGGGATATAGGCTCCCTTCCACTGACGATGTGAAATATTTAAAGCAGAATTTCAACAAAGCATAAAGCAGAAAACACACAGCTCACATTGGCTTTACACAGCAGCTCAGGGTGAACCGAACGGCTTCGGTCTTACAGCGAGCATCGCTAATTATCTGCTGGGCTACAGGCCAGTCGAGTATTGACGTGGGTGCCATTACTGATCCTGTAGCACAGTGACTCCCGGCTGTTCTTAATTACTTTCAACGGGACGGACGAACGAAAACAGCGAGACATACCGTGGATGAGAGAGCCATTGAGCCACTGCATGTAGTAGCTGTGTGGGAAGGTGAGCAGAACCTCGTTTGACAGGATGGAGATGGGGAGAAGCAGCACGGCGCACACTGCGACAGAGAGGGTGAACGTGCACAGCCAGAGCCTGGGAGGAGGAACAATAAGATAAGTCATGAGCGTTTGTGTTTCGCCTCAGCCGAGCAAAATCAGTCTCCGCTAAGCCAAACCGAACACAAATACAAGCATCCCAAATGGAAGGTGCAGAGTGCAGAGCGACAACGGTGCTGGATTTTCACTGCCAAAAGCAATAAACACGCAGGCGACCATGTAACAAGGCGATAAATCAAAAGAAAGACCTCTGGTCGCCAGTCACTGCTATCTGTGCAATCATCCAAAGTGACAGTCAATGTAACTGCTGTCCAGTTAATCATTACAAGTTTGCACTTACGCAATTTTGTTGACGGTAGCATCTTCGATATCATCTGAAAAGAAAGAAAAAAAAAAGACAAGTTATCTTGTTTGTTTTTTCAAAACAGAACATGTTTTCCCCTACACATCTCCGATGTGACTTTTTGAAACTAGGAGTTTAATAATAATAATAATAATAATAATAATAATAATAAAAAAACAGAACAAGAAGTTTTTAATCAAACACTTAATATGATGGGTTTAAAAAAACAATTCCTGAAGCAGCGTGCGAGCGTGTACTGCACACAAAATGCTGAAAAAAGCAAACCTCTCCCTGAGCTCAGAGAGGGTGTGACCAGGGGTCAGGCCTGTTTGGAACATTTTGTTCATTCTGGACCAAGACTCCCTTTAAACCAAAGTGTGCAAAAAGAACCGAGGTGCAGTCACATCCAAAAGGTTTAGGTTTAACAGAGATCTCATCTTTTAATTGTCTTCAATTGGAATTCGGTCTTGATTGCTGTGAAGAATGATACCATGAAGGTGCAATTAACAGTAAATCAAATCAAATTTTCTTAAATTTTGGTCAAAGTGCTGCACAAAAAAACAAACAAAAAAAACAACAACAGGAATTCCAACAGAAAGAAAAACACAAACACAGTATAAGAGAAAAAGAAACACATAAAGCCCAACACATGAATCTCTCACACTGGTTTAAAACCCAGTGAGTACAAATGTGTTTTAAGAAGCGACGTAACATCCAATGCAGCTGGTTCCACAGTTTAGGAGGTAAAACTGAAAAGATCCAATGTCCAAAATACTGAAAATAAACTCAATCTCATAGACACACACACACACAAAAAAAAAAATCATTTGCTGTGTTTTAGACCTTCTTCAAAATGACATTTTAAATGGTTTTATTGCATCTCACAGATAATTTGATGAAAACAGAGAAACATAGCACAACTAGCATATGATGTCCTCATTTAACATAAAAAAAACTTCACATACAAGAATATTTCTGCTACTATGATTGACTCAAATAAACCATTCAAAGAATCATTAAGGAGTTCAAGGAGAGATGTTCAGCTGCCTGCAATTTACTAAGGAGCAGCCAGGGCAGAGTTTGCTCTGGAATGGCAGCAGGCAGGTGTGACTTACAGATTGTCAAAGGGACCAAGAAAACAAAAGCAAAAACAAACCAAAAAAAATAAGCCATTTCTTTTGAAGAAAACCATCACAGAGTGACAGATATTCAGTAGGAAGCATTATGATCAAGACTACAGAATGCAAAGTTATTTTTTCCTGAGGAAAACTTTTCTGGATGAACCAAGCAACTTTTTTCAGGTTGTTTGGGACATCTGTAAAAGTGACTATCCACTCCAGAGGGGGAAAAAAAAAAAAAAAAAAAAAAATGGTGAATGCTCCCATGAGCATTGCCCTCCAGACAGTAAAGAATCCTGAGACAAGTTGTGACTCAACCCTTTAGGAGTCACTTTATCGAACTATTCGGGATCAATCCAAAAACTCCAAAAGGTGAAAGTGAAAACCGAGTGACTGGGATCAAAACTCCAAGTTCCGGACTCGTAGCCAAGAAAACTCCCCCAGGACTCTGAGGTCATCTTGAAAACGAAAGGTTGACATGAATTTGACGCGCACTCACCAGCCTCAATACTGGGTACACCTGTCCAATTGCTGGCTAAAACAAATATCAAAATTAACTAATCAAATTCAAATTTAGAACTAGAATGGAGAAAACAAGAGATTTAAGTGACTTTGAGCGTATGTAGTGGTCTGAGTATTTCAGAAACTCCAGTCATACTTTTTTCTTTTTCTTTCCTTTTATATGCATTACAAACAATCAAGTCGGTTCTGGAGGCAAATGGGAGCACAACTTGATTCTAGCAAAGTGTATCTAATAAAGTGGCCAGTAAGTGTTTATCTCACAAAACCTCTGAAACTGAAATGCTTCCTACTGAACATCAGAAAACCATAGAAACACCTGAGGAAAACCTCTGAAGCAACACGATTTATGAAGAACAAAATTCCCATTTGGCTACAACCATAAATAGCAAACAGAAAGAAAACAAAACAAAAAAAAAAAAAAAACTCAACACCTTTTATTATGCACCCGAAAGGAATTAAGTGCTACTCTTGGTCAGGTGTGTGATAATACGTCCTTTTGGCGATGCTGTCGCCAAAGTTCTATTGCAGAGTAAAATCCAAGGAGCAAGAACCAGTTCTGGGTGTCGTAAACGTCTCTGTACTGTGGGATTGCATAACTGTCACATAGCTGCAGGGCAGAACTGTGCTCTTGTTGTTGATGCACAAACCTCAGCAGAAGGAAACCGATGCACACAATGTGAATAAAAACGTGCAGAAGAAATGAGCATCCAACTTGGGTGCAGCCCCGGCCATGGTGGAGAACCGAGGAAAAACCCACATCTGCTTCCAATGGACTCGCATTTTATTGGCTTGAGCGAATGTTAATCAGCTCAACAGAGCACAAGTGACTGGGATCAAATGTGCCTGAACACACAATCGTTGCGCCGACGCATGTGCTGCCGTCTCGCAGTACATGCGTCTTGTTCTTAGCCTCGTGGTGACAATCGTTTGCGCCTGCCAGGAAGTTTGTACGAGTTTAAGGTTTCAACTTTATCTTGCAGAAATTTTTATTTATTTTTTTAACCACTCCTCCGCCTTTTTAAAGAGCTTTCTGCACACCGAGCAAAACGTCTCCTCGACATTATCTCCAGGCTTTTCAAATCAAAGTTCAGAGTGTGACGTCCTAAAAGAAATGGGCAAACTTTGTTAAATGTGCACACATGCAAAGAAAGGAAAAGACAATGAACAAAACAATAAACAACTATGAAAGCAGAACAGAAAAAAAACAAAACAAAACAGACTCCTTACTCAAACAGCGAGTTTCTCAGTAGGATTTATGCAAGCCTGAAAACGTGTTGCCAACACACTCAGTGGAAAAGAAATTCCAAAACTTCAATGTAATCGGTGCGCTTGTCAACACTGTTCGTTTTCCTCAAGGCAGTTCTCAGTGAACTGCTGACTGAAAGACAACTCGCAGGGCTCTCTTAAACGCATACTCACATCCAGAAACCGTCGAACTCACCTGTGATAAACTCGGCAGTCTTTTTGAAGTGTGTGAGGACGAGGTAGCACACCATGTAAAGGCACGTAAACAAGAGGACACAGATCTGCAGGAGAGAAACAAAAGGAACTTAGTCTTTTCTGCACGAGTCTGAAGACAGAAAATGTGCCGTCAATCTGTCAGAACAGCTGTGGCTGAAGACATCGACCTGCTTTTAAACCATCTAGTTTCGCTCAGGCGTTGAAGTAAGACGTAAATCACAAGACAGGGGAGATGAAAACAAGAGACGGGGTGGCAAAAGCTAAAAACATGAACTGTTTTGTCTTGCATAAAGACTACTCAAACAAAGAAAATGGGGTCCCAGTGCTCAAAGGGGATAGTTCCCCTTTGCTTGGATTAGAGGGACTTGGGGAGACAGACGGGTTAAAACCAGTGAGAAACACTCCACCCTGCCCCCTACAGCAGAGAGTAAAGGTCATCAGCTGATGTTACATTCATTCAAATTTAGGTTAAACCAGCAATCTGTCGTCTGGCAAATCTCCAACACGCCAAACACTAGGGTCTGCTAAAACCCTCACACTTGTATAGAGTTTCAATTAATTACAAGCTATAATAAAAATTTCAAGCCTTTAAAAGTTACAAAATGATTGCAGAAGCTTTTAATCCCCAACAACCAAGAGACTACACAGGACTAATCGCCAACTTTATATTGTTTTACTATTTATGCATTCTAACATGCTATTTTGATTTTTGCTGCTTGATTTGTCCCCACCATTTTTATTTATTTTTTTTTATTCCTCACCACAGCTTTAAGGAACCGCATGTAATCTACGAACAAAAACACGCTGGGCAAATTGAAAAAGGAAGTAATGTTGCAACGCGACGGCATTTCTGGACAGGTGCCAAAAAGGAGTTCAATACGCAAAACGGGATTTACATTTTTACCCATAGGGCAATAACAGCAAAAAAACAAAAACAAAACAAAAAAACAAAGATATGCTCTCCTAAATAAGATAAGATACTTTAACATAAATGTGAATAATGAAACTCAAATGATGGTAATGTTAGATTTGGTGCTCTATATAAAAAGCTCATGATATACATTCACCAGCAATCTTATTGGGTGCACATTGCTGGAACAACGATTCGCTGTGCCAGAAAAATTCATCACATATTTGGTTCAAATCATATCAAATGCTTCATTGTTACGTGCTTCACCAGCTGCACATCTTTGATGGGAATGTCACATTCAACCGCATACAAAAAGCTCCACTACTGAACTGAGATCTGGTGAATGCAGAAGCCAAACAGAGTGCAGAAAACACACCGTTGAAGAAACCTGCTTTGAGGTCACAAAGACTCCGTTTTATTCTGCTGGGCGAAGCCACGCCGACGACGTCATAAACACCGACATGAAGGCAGGACACATTTTTGCTTTCAGGTTATTGTTCACCTTTTAAGTTTCAGTTTCCTGTTCTTAGATTACGGGAGGGCCGCTCACTGTGGTCTTCTGCTGCTGCAGTCCATCTGCTTCAAGCTTCGATGTCTCGTGCATTCAGATTTCATTTGGTATACCTTGGTTGTAACATCTAGGTATCATCTCAAACCAGTTCCGTCCATTCTCTTTTGGCAACAACAAGGAATTTTCATCCACACAACTGTGACTCACAACATATTTTCTTTTTCTTTTTCAGAGCATTACCTGGAAACCTGAGCGATGGTCGTGCATGGCACACACTGCAAACTCGTTCTTAGAGCAGCATTTTCGGCCAGAGTTGCACTAACAACCATGGCATGTTTAAACTTGCTAAAAATTCAGTTTCCTTTTCCTGCTGATGCTCCTCATGAAGTCCAGTGAGTTGCGTTCACCACACCTAGATACATAAATCTATTAAATTACTCCCATGTGATTGGCTGATTCAGTGTTAACAAGCAACAGAGCAGGTGTTCCAAAGTGGCGAGTGGAATTTCTGTGAAAAACAGTCATTTATCCCACAGGGACACTTGACCCAGTTCATCGGATCTCCCTACTTCTGCCTGAGAGCATCCCAACACCAAACGAATAAATCGGCTTCTTCCTGAATGTTTTTTTTTTTTTTTTTTTGGGGAAAAGCTGAGGATAAAGCAAACTGAATTTAGCTTTCAGCATTCTTCTTTTGGAGAAATATTTGAAATTTCTCGTCATAAGCAGGAATAATCGGTGGCAACAAACAACCTGCATACCAACAACAAAGCACCCTATACAACAACTAATCTGCTCCAACTGAAAATTCTTCAATAATGCAGCCTAATTTGGCAAGAGGCTAATCCGGAAAAAAAAAAAGAAAAAAAAAAAAGAAAAAGGAAAAGCAGGGAACAAAGGATGTGTTTGGTTTGAAATAAGACGGGTAGAATAAAACCTTTTCAGCCCATGTTGGTGAGAACACACATCTTTCTTTGGTGTCAAGAGACGGAAGACACCTTCAAGACGGTTTTAAAGTTTTTAGCATGGAGGGGAGTGTATCAGAATCCTATGCAAAGATACAGTGCAGAGAAATTTGAACTTTGCAGATTAACTTGGACACATTTGTTCTGATGCAAAAAAAAAAGTATCCCTCTAATCCCCCCATAAAAAAAACAAACAAAAAAAAACAGATTTGAAGTTAGCTATAGGTACCAAGATAAAATTAGTCCACAAGTTGTTAAATATGCCTTTAAACCGGCATTAAAAAAAAAAAAAAAGTAGGAGCACCACTAGTGATCATACTTTCCCAGTCCCGAGCTACTCACATGCACTTTGTACAGCAGGTGCCTTTATGAATCTCCGGTTCGTACAAAGTGTGTGTGCAAGCTGGGACGAATCACTCTGACCTGCTGCTTGGCTTTCCAACAGACCATGACCTTTTCATAATCAATATCAGTACAGGATCATCTACTTCCTCTGCTTTTGTGATTATCTGTCAAAAGATTTTGATCATTTAGGATCAAACTCGAAACCTTTGAAGAAAATATGAAAAATCTTCATAGCCAAGAGAGTCAGACTAAGATTTCCAATGACGTACATTTCAGATAGATTTGACTGGCAACCCTGAGAAATCATTGCATATGTCTTGAACAGGCTCCAAAAGGTAACGTAACCCTGTTTAGTAATACTAAGTTGTGATGAAAGTTGTGAATTTTTACTTTTCTAGAGATGCAGAAATGTTAGCTGGAAATATTAGTAGGACCAAATTTCAGTTCGCTGGTCTCAACAAGTGACCTGGAAGACGGAAACTAGAAATGAAATTCTCCTCCAACAGCAAATGCACCATACTGAAGTGCTAAATCTTGTCACTAACAACACTTTTAGGTGAGGAGGAAGTTGTTCATGTGACAAAAACATGAACAAAGAATTAATGTTGGATTTTGTATTTCCAGTATAGCTGAAGTGTTTAAGGCGGGAGGGGGGTGAAGTTGGGTGAAGCGCAAAAGCTGCAATAAGGCAACAGTATTTCTTAGGAGAGAAGCTTCAGGTGCTACAACACAGTCCTCCTAGATTTTGGTAGGGTAAGTGGTGATCATTTTGCCTCCTGAAGTTGAGCAGGCTGCAGCAGATGACAGGAAAGCTGAACATATTACAGAAAGTTGCTCAATTTTATTCTTTTGAGCTTTCAACCTCAGTCTGACAGGAACAGGGTTAGGGTTGCCTTTCGTAAATCTAAGAGTTAAGGTACGAATCTGGATTCTTGAGGAAAAACACACAAACTGATGTTTAGTGAGTAATGCTAATGTGCCAATTGCCAATAAGGACAGTTTAAAATACAAACTTCTCATAATTCTCATAATGTTTGTGCCACTGCCATAACACATCACTTCCCGGAGGGTTCTGGGAGATTCTGTGCAACCATCTACTTTGGAAATAAACCACTCACTTCCAATATTTCCAAATATTCCATAGTCTGTTCACTCACATTGTTTTAGGGCATCCTATTTCTGACCTGCAGGATTCTACCTTGACCTTTTACCCAGCCAGACATTGATCCTTCCTGGCTCAGGATGCAGGCTAAGGCATGGGCTCTCTGCACAGTTTACATCCTCAAACACAGGCTATTCTTTTTCCATGTCAGTTATGCATAAATTTGCCAGATGTTATTAGTCTTCATGATTTACAATGATACAGTGGAGACAGATATTTGGCAGCGACAACATTTTCCCAAGGATTTTTTTTTTCTATTATTATTTTAACCTGAACACTGGTGTGCAGCACGCGTACTAGGCCGCTTGTTGAGTCGCAATGTTACACTGCAACAGGACGCAACCATCAAAAGTGTGTTAGAAAATGGGAGAAACACATAGGTTAAAATCTTTCAAGTAATTTACATATGTCAGGTTGTTTGGTCAGATTGTTGTTGTTTTTTTAAAGATTATTTTAAAGTGTTGCTTTCAGTGGAAAAAAAATAAATAAGAAAATGTACTAAAATGTGAAACCACTGAAAAAAAAATGTATGGGAAATCAGGAAAGTACTTTCACTAAAATGTCTGAAGTTGCTGGTCAGTGAAACAGACATTTGACAGTTGCCTGTTTTCTAAGTAAATTTAATTTATGGAGAATTTTTCAATAATAATCATAATAATAATATAATTAAAACATTTCACAAAAAGAGAAAGAGGGTCCGTTATATTTTTAAGTTATAATATGAAATCCAAAACAGCAACACGTATCTTGATAACATCTTGCGATACTATGTAGCATTCTCATTATAATCCCATTTGAGCTGATTCAGCATTTATCGCGCTCTCATGAATGTTCCCTTTCAAGTTGCTCTCGTGACATGCGCTAATCCACCCGCATAAAATTACCATCGCTGATTTATGTTTTTGCAACAAATGCCAGGTTGAACCTCTCCTCTCAACCTAAAGGAGGTCGCATGCATCATTTCTACACGGAATCTCTCACTGTGTGAATTGTCTGACCTCAGCACCAGTTTCCCATGCTGCCTTAGTCCATCTGAGCCAGGACTAGAAGTCAATGTTGTACAAATGTTTTGTTGCTACTCTATGAAATTACACACTTTGCAGATGAGACTTTAATAACTGGGAATATTATTCTTTTTTTTTTAAATTTTTTTATTTAACTTCTAAGTATTACAGACTTTTCCAGGGAAGTGCAAATGTTGGCAAATGTGACATATCTTTAAAATTTGAAGTGACTGTCATAGATAGCTTGTCACTTGGATTTGTCTTAGCGTTGCTGGGACAGCTGACTGTGATGAGAGGGTGCACTGTCAGAAGGTGAAGTGCTAGACACTCACGGCTCGCCTGCGGCTAATAGCATTAGGTCGTGAGGGGAAAAGGTCACTGACAATCTGAAGCAGCAAACAAAGAGGTGATTAATTAAAAAGGAGTACAACTATAGACAGGAACTGCTTTGTGTAACATGTCACTTTCCATCGATTCTTTGCGTTTTATTGACAAATGTCCCAAATCTCTTTATAGTGTAAATATCTCAGGCCAGTCCCAAGAGAGTTAAAATGTTGTGATTTGAAAATCTGGCTTAAAGTTTATGTTCGCTTTAAAAAAAACAACAAAAAAAAACATATATGGGTTACAAAGTTAGCCTAATTTAAAAATTAAGGCTTAAAAAATGTGATATTACTTGATATTGATTTTAACTAAAACTCATAAATGATATGATTTTAGCTTCTATAAAAAACAGAAGCTTTCGATTCTCGCCCATTTTAACAGTGCAAGAAAAAAAACTAAATTATTTGGAGATGAAGTCACAACATCTCAGAAAAATATGTCATTGCTGAAAACCAGGATAATAATTCTGATTAAGATCAACCTAAGAATTGAAAACATAATTTAAAAGTTGTTGTGATGACGACTGCGATTCAACGTGTTGTGCAGCTTTTGTGCAAAAACATTGGCTGATAACTGGAATTGGACAATTCTGAGCTTGAACCCAAAGAATTTCTGGCATAACTTCGTCAACTCTCAGTGTTCATGGATCGGGTCAAAGACCTGATAAGACGGAGACATCAGCAACACTTGAATTGCTGAGAAACAACTTAAGTGGTAGACCAATGCATTTCTCAGCATTTTAAGTGTTACTACAGTCTGCTTCACCATAATAATTATGAGCATGAGTTGAAAAACTGAATATTTTTGATCAATGAATGTACCAGTCATTTAGAAGGGATTTTCAGAGGAAACTTTTTTTTTTTTTTCCCACAAAGACATGTCAGATATTGACCATTGAGTGGACTTCAGTAAATACCTGAAAAGCTTAACATATTGCAGCAAAGTTGCTCTGTTTAGGGGTTTTGAACAATCAACCACTTACAGGACATCCCGGATTTGGAAACTTCAGGATTAAGGAAGGGGTTCACATTTTCCAGGGAACAGACGCCGAGGCTGATGTTCACAGTTACTAATGCTAACCTTGCTAATCATGCTGATTGATAAGATGCTTGAAAAAGCTTAAAATGTCAGCTTCAAATAATTTTAAGTATTTGAACTTTGTTTAACTCATCTGCTTCTAATATAAAATTATTAATCATCACCCACAGCATCCTATATTTCTGAGCACTTATAATACAAAGAAATCAGATTAAGATGAAACCAGTGTTGGCAGGTCAAAAGCTTTGTAAAAACCAGGAAACAGTTATGGGAAACAAATCTTTGATCATTGAATTTCTTATGCATTACTACTAAATTTTGATCAAATAATATGCCATATCAGGTCATTAAAATTTTGGATTTTGTTTTTTTTTTTTTTCTGTTATTAATCATTCAGATTATTCATGGCAAGCACAAAGTTATCACACGTGTCCATAAATGCCGACATAATCTCCAAAGAGATTGCCTGTGCTTTCCCCCTCTGTATCATTATATAATGGTCATACATCTTTGTCTGATCCTAACTGCATAGATTTTGCTCATCCCTTCATATCCTGGGATGCAATGCGCTCACAGAAATAAACAAACTTGAGCAAAACCGCAAGGTCAAATTCGTGTTTCAGCAACATCTTAGCTTTCAGGAGCGGATCTGTCGGAGGGGGACCTGAATGTTTTATATCGGGTTAAAGTTCTCTGCCTTGCTGCAACGGAGGAGATCGAGCTGCAAAGTCTGAAGTTCAACATGAGGTGTGGTTTTAAACAAAGCCGCGTCAGGCACAAGAGCAAGCAGCATAGTTATAGAAAATTATATACACAGGGCTAAAACAGACAATAATGCAATACTGCTACGGCTGCATTGGTCTTGTAGCGAATACAGTGAACGTGACTAAAAAAAAGAAAAATAAGTCAGGTTAAACAACTGTAATTTAGAGAGAGGCTAACACAGACCTTTTAACAAGGTGACTTTTTGCATGTGAAAAGACAGCATGCTATATTGTCAGTGACGAGCCCCCGTACCCCCCCCCCCCCACCCCCCCTTAACTCGTCAACCAACGGTTGCTTCACTTTTAGCCCAGCTTTACTTACTATCGTCTCTCGGACGCGGTTGTGGAAAAGTTGCTCCCTAATCGACACTTCGTCCGTTTCCATCCTCTAAAAACCATGCCACTGCCCTGAGCCCTGAAGCCGCTGAGAGGGCCAGTTTGATTAAAAATGATGAACCGGTTGCATCGTAGCAAGTCAGCAACGGATGTATCAGTTGGTTAGAAGGGCTGAGTTTTAAAAATCGGATACAACTACCCTGATCAAAACCGGGCGGGGCGGGGACATTGGGGCGGGGCTTAGCACCAGAATGGATCCCATTGATTGGTCGAGGCAGCTGCCAATCAGAGCTAAACTTAAAGAGGTTATTTGGCTTACAGATGTTCTGTGCATTTTTCCTAAGTAGCAAAAAAGAAAAAAAAAGAGCACATATCTAGTAGCAAGACGATATTTGAATTGAAAAGAACTAATTTATGTATCATAATTATTTACACCATAATAGAGGAAATCTGTTTAACATTTGTTATTTTTTGTGTTTGAAATTTTGCACACCCCAAATGACATTTTTATTGTTAACAAAAAACCCATAAACTTTAAAGCATCTTCTTAATTACATTCATCCATACATACATTTTCTTATAAGACTAGGATAATGAGTAACTTTATGAAGAAGGCTGCCTCAGTTCTGGGAGTTGTTCTGGAGTTTCTAGAGCTGATTGTGCTATAAAGAAATCTCTGAAATGAAAAACATCATAAAGAACCATATGCATCTTCTTTGCAACACAGCAATCTAGCAATAGAGAGTCACCAGTGATACACATCTTCAAATCTAATTAAGGACAGGCTGCTGTTGCAAAAGAACCTTGAATAATAAGGATTATTAAACCATAAAATTTTATATTGGGATCAATGAAATATTATTGAATTAAATTAAACTGAACCAAATTGAACAAATGTGCTTGATGTGTGTCGGACGTCGGAACTCAGATCAAGAAATTAAGCCTCCCCCTCAAGGTTGCAACCCAGAAAATGAAAAGCAGAGGGTTAATCAATTGTTGTGATGCTACTGCTAAAAAAATATATACACTTATAACAACATGTGTTTTTCATGTTTCAATTCAAACTCTAAAATGAATATGATTTCAAATAAATATTGTGCAGCATGGACGCCACAGATTTAATTGCTCCGATGAGCTTCTTTCAATACATTCCGTATGCATGGGAGTCGACTCAAATACTAGATATTGGGTGGAAGGTAAGATGAGGCTTGTTGGAGAGCTTTGGAATTCCCAGTCTGAATTTGGACCTCAGGGACATTTCTCAGAAACTCTGACTTCAAAGTATACATAAAAAACCACCTAGATAATTGTTAGTGTAAATAAAACAAAGGAACAATGCAGCAGAAAACCTCTGCTTTTCAAAACACCAGGGCTTTACAATCGAAGCAACATGCATAATTATTAAAAAAAAATAAATTATATTGCTAACATTCTTGATTGATGTAGAATGTTTTGCATTTTATTATTGCTGGTTAATCAGCTGCATCTTTGACAAGTGTTTCTCATTTTTACCACTGGAAAACATTTGAAACTATTTTTGAATGTACTGAATTGTCTCAGTCAATATTTTAGCAGCCTATTTTTCCTTCAAGGCTTCTAATAAATTAAAAATATTCAAAGCTTATAACATTAGCATCCTGTTTTCAAAAATCAAGCACTTTGTTTTTATTCCGTCAGTCATTATGACGTTCTGTATCTGGGCTGCTGTGTAATCTTATTGTCATGATCCAAAGTCCAACTGTTGCAACAACGTGCTGCAACTTCAACAGCGGAAACCACTGAAAAGGATTTCTCAGGATAAGGATTTTTTAAACTACGGACTACGTAAGTAAAACATCCTTTATGACACAAAGCCAAGTACTAAATACGTGAAAGGAACAGATGGGCTTGGTGAATAGAGAAAGTTGGTTGAAATCTTTTTTCTTTTTTTTTTCAGTCTACTTAGCGAGGTCATATGATTCTTTTTCAATGGCATTAATTTCTGGGGATGTCAAAGTAAATGACTTGATGATTATGAGCAAAAATAAACCCCATTTATATAACATATTAATCCAAGTAGGGACATGAATCACAGAGATTAAAAATCACTCTGACTTTTCTGCCAGAAATGACTGGAACAGCTGGCAGATAAGATCAGGAAATCACGGCATGTGGCATCATGTGAGTTTCGGAATAGCTCACATGGGTTAGTCCTTCCCCCCCAAAAAAACTCAGTCCTTCTTAATAACAATCTTTAAAACACTCTCAAATGTGAAAGCAGACATAATACTGTCACTCCATTGCAGGAACTAAACAAGGATGACAGCTCACAAGAGCAGGAACTGATCCACTGCTACAACAGCATGGTGAAGAGAGTCCTAGTAGCCTACGCCCTGTGGGCGATGGGTGGGCCTTTGGGTCTTCACCATCTCTACTTAGGAAGAGACAGCCATGCTCTGCTGTGGATGCTAACTCTGGGAGGTTTTGGCTTTGGCTGGGCAAGAGAGTTCATACGTATTCCAGCTTACGTCAGCGAGGCTAATCGAGATACAGAAAAAGAAAGATGGCCGCGCAAAGAAGGACTCCCACCTGCCAGCCCCGTCAGATTTGCTGGGCAGGTGTGTGTTGGGATCTACTTTGGCATGGTGGCTCTCATTGGACTAAACTCCCTCAGTTTCTTCTACTTGATCGTTCTGCCCCTAAGCGTGGGCGCAGGGGTTCACTTGGTGTCCAATGTTGGTCAACAGACTGCCGATCTCCAAAAAACCCTCACTGCCTGTCTTGTGACATCACCGATATTCTACGGCAGCTCTCTCTCACCTCTTCCTATAAGCTTGGCTGCTAGCATCACTGCTGCACAGCACCGCAGGTTCAAACCTCCGAAAGCCCCTGGCAGCCAGCAGAAACTAGGTGAGCTCCTTTTCGTACTCAAAGATCCCTTACTTGAATTTATAAAACTCAGCTGAAACAACGTTTTCCTCCACGTTTCGTTCAGGTCCACGGCTTTACAGGATTGGTCTAGCTTGGCTTGCCTTCTCCGCTCCACTGGGTTATTGTTTTTTTTACAACACTACGGCCACACTGTATTACCTGTCTGACTCAATAGCTGCACTGCTGGATATTTTCTGGTTCCTGCCTTGGCTCAGAAGTGTGCTGGAATACTTTCTTTTAATGCCGTACCGCATCCTGTGTGCACTGACTGGAGGGGGATACCACGAAGAGGCTTGGAGGAAGGTGCTGGAAATACTGCTGAAAGAGTACACACACAGAGAAAAAGAGGCGCTAAAGGTGAGCAGGCTATGAACGATGAGTTAATACGTCCATGCCCGGTTGACGTTCTCTTTGTGTTTGAATGTTTGTACTCTAGGTGTTGTCATTGGAGACAGAGGCGTCTCTGGAGGAAATAACTCGAAGCTACAGGGAGCTGGCCAAGACATGGCATCCAGACCACAACCCTAACAACGATGCTGAGAAAATGTTCATGAAGGTCCAGGAAGCTTATGAGGTCTTGATGCGATGGCACAAACCCCAGAGATTCAAATAGTAGTGCTATTTTTCTTACAGACTGGCAATCATTGAGTTTCATTTAAAAAAAAAAAGAACTGTTTATGGGTACGTGACAAATCATTTGTACAGAGATGTATGTCTTGTTTATTGAGCATCTCTCATTTGCAGTTCCTACAATAAATCTTCAGTTGGTTTCAGATACATTTTGCAGGGTTTGCAGGACATGTTATGTTGGTATGCATTTCGAGTTGAGTGCTCCTTGTTTGTTTGTTTGGAAGATACATCATCATCACCATCATCAATCCTTGTGGACTGATGGAACAAGAAAAGTGTCTAAAATATCAATGTCCACTGTTGCATTTGCTGCCATCCAGGGAAATTGACCTGTCTCTACATCGTCCATGCGTTTGGAAATTTGGTTGTTTTTGTTTTTATTAGGCAGGCAGCTTCACATGTTCCACTGGATTGGGATGGCACCAAACACCATTCTGCCTTCATCTTCATGTTGTACATGCAGATTCACATTTGGGCCTTTTTCTGCATGTAAATCCCATTTCATCCTCATTATTTCTTTCAGTTCTGTGTTCTGAAAGGAAGCGTGCTTTGAAATCTACCTTGATGGGTTTTTTTTTATTATTATTTAATTTTTAGAACTTTCCGATTTGGTAAGATTTAGGCTGTAGGTAAAATTAAATGAGAAAACTCAACCCTTTTTTCCACACCTTGTGTTCTTTTGCCTTTCCTCCTACACCCAAAACCATGCATGTTATGTTAATTGCAGGTTCTAAATTGAACTAAGGTATGAATGCATGTATGAATGGCTGTTTCTGACACCTGTCTCTATTATGGCCCTGAAAAGGACTTGTCACTCGTAAACGTTGTAGTCTGTATGTCTACTATTGCCCAGCAGACATAGAAACCAGCTGCCCTGTGACACTGAACCTAACATAAAGCAATTATAGACAATAAATGGATGGATACATTTTTCATCTGGCATGATCTCTTGATAGAATTATGTTTCCTGTCAGTCAGAGAGATGCAACACCTAGTATGGCCTCCTATCATTCTCTTTTAACTTCACACTCATTTGAAGACTTATATACTTGTGCAGGTATTGGTTTCAGAAGTGCAAAAGATAAGATAATTCTTTAATTCTATTGTTTCGCTGGGTGATTTAAAAATGTTTTCTCTATTAGATTTTAAAAGAGTATAGAGCAGAAATGTCAGATCAATTATTTGGAGCTATGTTTGTACAAAGCCATGCTGTTTAAATGTATTTTTGTAATTAATATTTCTCTCAAAACCTGAACATCATCCAATTCATAACAGAATTGTACTATGCCTAATGCAATAGAATTTTACACCTGTTTGATTGCGCCAAAAACAACAATTTGCTGCCATCTTGTGGTACAAATGTAATATTAAAATAAACAACGTCATTACTAATTTTTACCGGCTGTCATAATCATGTATCAGCAGGTACTATATATGTTTAATTATAAGTGTTTATAATTATCAAGACAAGTGCAAATAATAAAAATAATAATACACATTTCGGGCTTTTACGTAAAACTTGTTGCTGGTTTGTTAGACTGATGCTGCTCGAGAACACACATTCTCGCTGGGATTGTGTAATTTCTACGAGCCCATGTTGTTATGAAACTATAAACGTCAACATATTGTTTGTGTCTTATGTGTGTATCGATGCATTCGACAATCACTGGATCAACAGCTCTGTCTGTATCCCAGCATGGGCCCGGAAGTTGTTTGGGTTTCAGGTGAAAAAAAAAAGACGAAAAAAAGAAAGAAGGGAAGACAGAAAGAGGGAAAAAAAGATCCCAGGGATGCTGCCGTCGCTGGGGAAAACAAACAACCAGGCAGACAATTAAGGAAGGAGCGCACCGATCGACCTGCAGGTAAGGACGAGGACTCCGCCGCCCATCCGTCGCCGCTTGATCGGCGTGTTTTTGAGTAGTTGCTGCGGGTGAATGCCATTTGTCGTGTGGTCGGGTGCCATAGCAACGGCTCGTGAGAAACATATAGCCCAGGTCGGTTTGACGCGCTCGGTGTTGGATGACAGCTGCGTTCATGCGGACAATTCGCTCAGTCGCAACTCCTGCAACACACTGCCGCCGCCGCCGCGTCTCGCCGCGTCTCGCCGCTGTCTGGAGCCGTGCGTGAGCTGATCGGACCAGAAATCCTCCGAGAAGGCTAAAACAAGTAGCCGCGGATGCTCTGAGAGAGAGAGAGAAAGAGAGAGAGAGAGAGAGAGGAAGAGAGAGACAGAGAGAGTGAGGCATGACACTTATCTGGAAACATATATGATCCAATGCACACTCGACAATCTGAAGGCCAGAAAGGATTGTAAGGCAAGGGTTGGTGCCGATGCGCGTCCCCTTGTCTTTATTTATCTCTGTTATTTTATTTTAATCGCCGTGCCCCGGTGCGTCTCCCGACTGCATCAGTGCCTGTTGCTTCCCATGCGGGGCCAATGCCAGGATATTAATTCTCCCTGAGATGTGCTGTCTCCGCCTCCCCCTCTCTCCAAAGTCAATGTCCACTGTTGTCATCCATTTGAGCGAGAGGTGCTGCCGCCTTGTACATCTTGGTCTGTTTCCGTTTCCTAACGTGAAAGCTCCGTCTGCTCCCAGTGAACATAAACATGTTGGCGGCTATGTCTAAAGACAACGTAAGTCAGCAAGAAAGTGTCTGGTCTCGGTGTATCTATCTGTGTCACTTGGTTATTGGATAACTGTTTTATGTAACGTGCGCTATATGCCCCTTATTGTTAATTATTTGGCAATTATGCATGAAGGAGGTGGACAGAGTAGGAATAAATGAGAAATGGGCGAAAGACCTGTTTAACCTTAACTAACAAAAATCTGAAAATCAGAATAAATATAATATAATATAATATAATATAATATAATATAATATAATATACAAAATATTATATGATTGTTTCTATGTTAAAATATGAGTCCTTTACAGTCTACTCTAGTTTAGC